GTTTGAAGTAGTTACAGTCAAGGAAGTTCTACTCACTGCCTTCTCGTGCAGCAAGGGTGTCGTTTACAAAAATGAGATGAATAGTAGATGTTTGACAGAGGCTTGAACTGGGTCGTTGAGTATGGAGAATCCTTTAGGGGGAGTTGGTAAGCCATCATATCAAACCAGTGATACATAGGGGCCCATGATCCTGAAGTAACAAATAGGATATGGAGGCTTGAAGTGACCTCCTATGAAAACCACCAGCTTCTATTTGGTTGTGAGGGCAGTTTCTCAGCCCGTTCAAAATCATTAATTTGGGTGACATATAAATATTTAGATGCCACTTTGTACCAATAATTGTGTTTGAGCAAAATAATAATGTCACAAACTTGTACATTTATTTCTAAAACAGTTTTTTTTCTATGAATATTGCTCAGTCTAGTAGGAAGGTATACAGTATTTGAAAAAAATAAAGTTCTACCACCGTATCATTGTGAAACAAACGTATTTTTTAATGTGTCATGTTGAATAAGCCAGAAAACGTTAGTTTTTAGAAGCAGTCAGTCAAATAAAATTTAGAACATGGTACATTTATATAATTTGCCACATTACATTAACGTAGGGAAGTAAAATAATTAGGTTAAATCCTAGAGTAGTATAGTTAGTAACAGCATTTCTAATAACAGAAAAGACTGAACATCGAGGAAAAGATTCGAAAAAAAGCAGTCAGTCAGTCAATCAATTTCAACGTAGAACTTCGTACGCGCGTACATCAGTTCAACTTGCTATACCACATTAGCACAGAAACGCAATTATCATTTAAAACCCCATTAAGATAAAGGTAGTAGAAGTATTAGCGGTAATGGAGAAGATTAGGGTTCGAATGTGATATTCAAGAAGTATAATTCAGTGAGATAAATTTATAAAGAGAAAAACAGAGGTGATGAGGAATTCAGGAAATTCGAATTTGAGAGAACACAAAGAGTGGATGCACCTGCACCAATGCTAGCAGTTTCGAACCATGTCATTCAAGGTGTCCAACCATCGGTTACTATCGTCTCGCGGACCAAAACCAGGTAGTCTACATTTACTAACATAACTCAGTCCACTTGTCAGTGACTTCAAGGAGTTGTGCTATGTTTTGGTCCGGCCGCCCCTAGCTTTCTTCCAACCTATTCCTACACCGCACAATATAGCTCGTCGAGGCAGTCGCTGGTTGGGCACACGTAATGCATGCCCCAACCACCTCAACTGATGAAGTCTCAATACTTCATCCATTGATCTACCACCCCTACCTAGTACTCGTTTCCGTCAGTTGGTTTAACATCCTTAACTAGTACCCAACTGCTAATCTCAGCATTGCTTACTCCGTTGTGCCAGGATATAAGAACAGTGATTCCGAGACACCTATGATCGAAAACCAGTAACCTACAAATATCTTTTACTCTTACTGGCCATATTTCGCATCCATATAGTAGGACGGAGTGAACTGATGCACAGAAAGCTCGTCACCAGTTAGTAAACGGATATCTCGTCCACCCCATAAGTGACATAAGTTGGCAAAAGCCAATCGAGCCTTCGGTATCCCTGCTGCTCAGATTTCGTCAAAAACCAGACCATCAGCACTGATGACACTTAAAATAAGTGAACCAGTCGACACGCTTAACTGCTTCACTCTCTATCACTAGTTCAGGTGCCGCCGACGCAACCCAACACTGAAGCAACACTGCAATTCGATCGAGGGAATTGCATCCCGAACATGCTTGCATTGTTGCTTAAGGTGGTCGGTAGACTCTGCATCTTCACGAAATAGAACTGTCATAGGCATACTCTGGGTCAACAAGCAAGTCTCCTGGTGGAAGGTCCACTCCTAAAAAGTCAGATGATGATGTTAACTCTGAAAGCATATCGATAACAAAGCTGAATAAGGAGAGAGGAAGTTGACAGCCTTGACAGACATCACTTGCAGTAATGAATTCCAATGACACTTCTCAATAAGCACTCACTCGACCTGTAGTGTTCGAGTAGAGCCTGGATAAGGTAGAAAGAAGTACTTCTCTGGTACACCCTTCAATGACACAATGCCACAAAACCTCACAATAGACAGAGTCAAATGCCACTTTGTGTTCCAGGAAGACAGTTATTGTCGGACGTCTAAATTTGTGTCTGTGTTCTAGGACCTGTCGTAGTCTGAATGTGGTCTATACAGCCATATTCAAGTCTGAAAATAGCCTGATTTGCACGAGCTCTAGTCAGGCGTCTAAGTGTTATCGAGGCTAACATTTTAGACACTATATTAGTTAAACTGATCCCTCTGTGATTGTCACAAGAAGACTTCTGTCCTTTTTCATAGATTGGGACAATCACTGATTGAGACCAGTCGGATGGGATTACGTCCAGTTCCCAGATTCTACCTAAGATCTCAGTCAACCTAGCTAATAAAACTGGACCACCATCCTTAAATATCTCAGGGGCCAGTCTGTCAAGACCTGAAGCTCGCGCTCGCTTTAGATTTCCTAATGCTTTTTCAACTTCGTAATGACTTGGGGGACTTACGTCGATTTGCCATTCAGGATGACTGGAGATCGTGAGTGACCGAAGAGTGGCTCGAGGCCAGTTGAACTGATCCGTAAGTTGTTCTGCCCATCGGACCAGTCTCCCGGATTTAGAATGGATAATAAGACCATCCTTTTCCGAGGTAGTCTCACTCACACTTGGGTTCCTAATACCAGTTTCCTTGATGAGTTTAGATATTTGCCTACTGTTGCCTATCGCCGCTGCCTTTTCCATCTCACTTGCTTTCGTCAACCACCACTATTCGAGATCATTGCGTAGGCTTCACATCACCCCACCCTTAGGCAGACTCCGTTCCTCATCGTATTCAGAGCCAAACAGGATGGGTTTCTGAGCATCTGTCAGTTCGGTAGATGCTACTGAGATCCACGGCTTCTTCCTAGACTTATGGTCTACCTTACTAGCAGATATCACTGCTGTTTTCACAGCTTTTTCGATATCATTCAAACCTGCCTCGGGGTGGAAATCAATTTCGTGGACGTCTAACTGCCTTTCTAGTTGCGCCTGAAATATATTCTTAGCTAAGCTGTCATTATATAGAACCGTAAGAGGTTTACTTACGGTGAATTTCCTACGTCTCGTAAACTGCATTCAAATACGCACTCGCACTAGAGCACGATCTGAATCTAAACATGTGCCCCGGAACCAGCGACAGTCTACTACCGAACACCTCCATCGGTGGATGATAGCGATGTGATCTAGTAGGGTCCAGTGTTGAGACGACTTCGGGGGTCACAATGTTAAAAGATGCTTCTCCTTATGCTTAAAGTAAGTGTTTGCTGGAAATAGGAGCTTATCTGAACACAGATGTAGCAGACGGCCGCCTTAACACCATAAAATTCACCCAGATATCATTCCTTTACACTTAGTCTACCTACTTGGGCATTAAAGTCACCAGCCACTATTACCATGTCAGAGCACTTAACTTTCTGGAGGAGATTTAAAAGCCATCTGTAAAACTCATCTTTTACCTCGTCTGAACTGCAGTCAGCAAGAGCAAAGGCTGATACGACGAAGAGGCATCAATGAGTTTCTTTATATTTACGAGTCTTTAATGCCCCGTTTATTCAGACAGCGCACAAGTGACTATCTGATAGGATCCAGTCTAAGATAGCTAGTTCTGTCCTAGGACTTAATACTATACCTACACAAGCGAGGCCACGGGAAGCAGCAGCAGGGCTTCCATATATACGAAGCGTCAACTTAGTTGATTCTCTATCTGGACAAGGCGAAATCAAATTAATACGTTTGCTCGGATCCTGTATGCTTATCTAGAGTCCTCGCTAAGGTGGCCTGTTGCCCTATTTGACACAAGTTCGAGCAGTAAATCTCCAACATGTAGTTAAGAGCGGAGTTTCAGGAAGTGTTTCATGAACTCGAATAGATTGCATTAGCGGTGTGGGGTGATAAAGCAATGTGAGATGGGCTAGTCGTGGAGATAAGAGATGTTACAGGGGGTAGGGAGGATTCGATTGTTATCAGTTTGGTCTCATGTGTTGTCACTTTCCGGTTGCACACACCATGTTTCTTGAGGAACCTGAAAAAGAAGGTAGATTAGTGTTGGTCTTGGAGACCTGGGAGCGTGACCGGAGAGTTCAAGGGACAACTGCTTGAGGCCGGTCACGCACGGCCTTTTTATGAGCTTTTAAGGTTTTAGCTCCGCTATTTTATAAGGCCTTACCACCGGAGACGGAAATCCGTGAGGTAAGGTGAAGTTTGACACTTTTCGAGTTGACCTCTTCTAACCCCTTCCTCCTTTGTGTGAAGGCAGCACCACTGAGGATGCTGATTGTCTGAGGGGAACACCTTACTGTTGTCACATCACTCTAGAGTCTGCAGTACAACTTCGCCCTCAGACCTTGAGTTGCTGCTTTGTCTCATCATTCTGCAATCGACCTGCCTGGCATGGTAGAGCTTACAGGAACATATGTTTTGGCCAATATATCTGGGTTGGGCCATCGCGATAGGCAAGTCCGAGCACCACGCCAAGGTAGCAGCTACGGTCGCGGATCCAAAAAAACACCCATGAAGTACTAGAACAAATCCCTGAGGGATTTGGATAATTAAGATTTGACGATAGGCAATGAGTGAATGCACCCGCGTCGTTGTCATTCAGTATCTAACCAGAGGTTACGATAATCACAAAGACTTCAACAAGGTAGTCCGCACCTACCTATATGGTTCACATCTACAGCCAGTGACGTTATGGACTGAAGCCACATTTTGGTTTGACCACACCTAGCCTCCTTTCAATCCACTCTAACACCAGCCACCACTGCGCATCGATACAGTCAGTGGGCAGGCATATGTAATAAGTGTCTTAGCCAGCTCATTCGATAAAGATACACTACATTGTCGACCGATTTGTCATACTTCGTACTTCAGAATTACTAATTTAATGGTCGAAAGATCGCATGAAAAGAGAGTTCAAAATAAGATGAAATATATATATGTATATATTTATTTATGTACGAATTGACAAATAGATTTTTCATGGGAGACTGTACAATTCTGGTTTTGGTTCAATTTTATATTAGCATGATGATAATAATAATAATAATAACAATAGTAATAACAATCACATAAAATAATCAGTTTCAAATGTACAGTTTAAGACTTGTTAAATAGGCTATTTATCTCTGGCATAACCAAATTAGCAAGAATCACTAAAAATTAAAAATAAGAGAATTATTAGTAAATAAAAATAAATAACTAAAAAAAAAGTAAATAAGTCAGTCAGCTACAACGTAGAACTCCGTTCACACGTACATCAGTTCAAGTTGTCACATCAAATTAGCACAGAGACGCAATTTGCCAATTCAAATCCTACGGTAGTAGAAGTACTAACGATGATGGAGACGTTTAGGGTTCGAAGATATTATTCAAGAAGTATAGCACAGTGAAATAAATTTGAGAAAAGATTAGGTTTTGAGAGAAAACAAAAATTGGATGCGCCTGCGCCATTGCAAACGATTTTCAGCCAAGTGTTTCAAAGTCTCTGACCATCGGTTACTAATGTCCCGCATGCCTCTACCATGTAAGTCTACAACTGCCAATATGGCTCAGTCCAGTTGTCATAAATTTAAGTATCAAAAGTAACAAAAAAACTTCTAGGTAGTAATGATACTAGTTATATAAAGATTATGTATAGTTGCAGGGATGCAGTAACTTAATAATTAAGGCTTTGTGTAGTAGGGGATTAAGATGTGCTCTATGAAAAATGAGATATTACAAAGACAGGAGTACTGACTGAAGTACTAATTTAAAAGCTCAATCCTATCATTTATGATAATTACCTTTAATACACTTGAAACATTGCCGGATAACTAACTAACATGGCATCATCGTCAAATATGAAGGAAAGCTCGTTGTGACTGATGTTCGAACAAACTCACTTAACACAGCCTCAATTTAGAAAACCAAGTTTCACTATTAGCATTCCTAGTATTGTACACTTTTATTATGGAGATAAAAATGCTAAGGTATAAAAAGTGTTATACGTGTTTCTGGTCTTGGCTGCGTAGTAGATAGATGCAATGACAAAGTACTTGTTATACACTAACAGAGGTTGATTCCTAACTGATTATGTATGATCTGGGTAAGTTACCTGTTTTTGCATAGTAATACATTGTACAAGTTTAGTTGGCAATTTCACCTTGAGGCAAGAAGATTATAGAAGTTTGTTAAGTAGGTTATTAAATGCCGGTTTTAGAAAGTTACTCATCACAACTAATTTGAAACAACGGAAGAAATTGATTCCATGCTTCATTTCTTAACTTCTTACACATAAACATAATTTGATGTGATTATAGATATTTATTTATATCATTGTAATCTGATTAAAAACTCCGCCAGTAGAACCTTCGGGGCTACTACCGGTCCCAAGCCCGGGTAAAGGAGGAGGGTTGGACATGGGGTTGGCGACCCCATCCCGTCAAAAACTAACTTGCCAAAAAAACCATAACCAGAAAAAGTAATTCAAACCATTTTAACTCTGCCCTGGGAGGTGGAAGAAGAATTATGACGTCTCGTGATGAAAGCCGAGTTCCCTCGGAAGTCACGGGGCCGATGCCTCTTCTGACAACCGGAGCAACCATTCTTTTAGGTACATGGAACGTTCGTACATTGTGGGAGACTGGAAGACTATTTCAAGTTGCGGCAGAAATGAAACGATACAACCTCGAGGTGCTTGGAATCAGTGAAACGCATTGGACACAAGTAGGACAACTGAGACTAGCGTCAGGGGAACTGCTGTTATACTCTGGTCATGAAGAGGAAAACGCTTCACATACACAAGGAGTTGCACTGATGCTGTCCAAACATGCACAAAAGGCACTGATAGGATGGGAATCTCATGGGCCGAGGATCATTAAAGCATCCTTCAAAACAAAGAAAGAGGACATTACAATGAACGTCATCCAATGTTATGCACCTACCAATGACTACAATGACGACGTTAAAGATCAATTCTACGAAAGGCTGCAGTCAATTGTCGAGAAATGTTCACCAAAAGATTTGACGATTCTTATGGGAGACCTGAATGCCAAGGTTGGAATAGACAACACTGGATATGAAGACATCATGGGACGACATGGACTGGGAGAAAGGAACGAAGACGGTGAGAGATTTGCAAACCTATGTGCCTTCAACAAACTGGTCATCGGTGGCACAATATTCCCGCACAAACGCATACACAAAGCTACATGGATTTCACCGGACCACACTACTCAAAACCAAATTGATCATATCTGTATCAACAAAACGTTCAGAAGGACTATGGAGGATGTGAGAACCAGGAGAGGAGCTGATATAGCCTCAGATCACCATTTGCTGGTGGCCAAAATGAGACTGAAACTAAAGAAGCACTGGACAACGGGTCAGACATCACACAAGTTTAATACGGCCTTTCTTCAGGATACTGTAAAGCTCAACGAATTCAAGATAGCCCTCACCAAGAGGTTCCAGGCCTTTCAGGATCTACTCAATGGAGAGGACGCAACATTGGAGAACAATTGGAAAGGGATTAAGGAGGCAATCACTTCAACATATCACGAAGTTCTGGGTCACAAGAAGTACCATTACAAGGAATGGATCTCTGTTGATACTCTCGCAAAAATTGAAGAAAGGAGGAACAAGAAGGCAGCAATCAATGTCAGCCGAACAAGAGCGGAGAAAGTTACCGCACAAGCTGCATACACAGAAGCAAACAGACAAGTGAAGAACAGCATCAGAGCTGACAAACGAAAATATGTGGAAGATCTAGCAATGACGGCGGAAAGGGCTGCAAGAGACGGAAACTTGAGACAATTGTACGAAACAACAAAGAAGCTCGCTGGAAACTATCGTAAACCAGAACGACCAGTGAAAAGTAAGGAAGGCAAAGTAATCAGCAACACTGAAGAACAGCGAAATAGGTGGGTAGAGCACTTTAAGGAACTATTGAATCGACCAGCTCCACTGAACCCACCCAACATCGAAGCAGCACCCACGGACCTCCCAATTAATATTGGCGCACCTACGATTGAGATCAGTATGGCCATCAGAGAAATCAAGAGCGGCAAATCAGCAGGACCAGACAACATTCCAGCAGAGGCAATGAAAGCAGATGTAGAAGCATTTGCGAGAATATTTCACATCCTCTTCAAGAAGATTTGGGATGAGGAACAAGTACCATCAGATTGGAAAGAAGGATACCTGATCAAAATACCAAAGAAAGGCGATCTCAGCAAGTGTGAGAACTACAGAGGCATCACTCTTCTTTCAATACCAGGCAAAGTCTTCAACAGGGTATTGTTGTTAAACAAAATGAAAGACTTCGTAGACGCCCAACTTCGAGATCAACAGGCCGGATTTCGTAAGGAACGACCGTGTACTGACCAAATTGCTACATTACGGATCATTGTGGAACAATCAATTGAATGGAATTCACCACTCTACATCAACTTCATCGACTACGAGAAAGCATTCGATAGCGTGGATAGGAAAACACTGTGGAGGCTTCTTCGACACTACGGTGTGCCTGAGAAAATAGTCAACATCATACGGAATTCTTATGATGGATTCAACTGCAAAATCGTGCACGAAAGACAGCTAACAGACTCTTTCGAGGTGAAGACCGGTGTCAGGCAAGGTTGCTTACTCTCACCCTTTCTCTTTCTCCTGGTCATCGACTGGATTATGAAGATGTCAGCATCTGGAGGGAAGCACGGTATCAGCTGGACAGTTAGGACGCAGCTGGACGATCTGGACTTCGCAGATGACCTGGCTCTTCTATCGCACACGCAACAACAAATGCAAGAGAAGACGACCAATGTAGCAGCAGTAGGTCTCAACATACACATAAAGGAAAAAGCGAAACTCTCCGATGCAACACAACATGCACCAACCAAATCACTCTTGATGGAGATGCCTTGGAAGACGTTAACACCTTTACATATCTGGGCAGCATCATCGACAACCAAGGTGGATCCGATGCAGATGTGAGGGTGCGGATTGGCAAAGCAAGGGCTGCATTTCTACAGTTGTAAAACATCTGGAACTCCAAACAACTTTCAACCAAAACCAAAATCAGGATTTTTAATACAAGTGTCAAGACAGTTCTACTATATGGAGCGGAAACTTGGAAAACTACGAAAGGCATCATCCAGAAGATACAAGTGTTTATTAACAGCTGCCTACGCAAAATACTTCGTATTCGTTGGCCTGACACCATCAGCAACAACGAACTGTGGGAGAGAACAAGTCAGATTCCAGTGGAGGAGGAAATCAGGAAGAAGCGGTGGAAGTGGATAGGACACACATTGCGGAAAGCACCTAACTGCGTCACGAGACAAGCCCTCACATGGAACCCTCAAGGCAAAAGGAAAAGAGGAAGACCGAGGAACACATTACGCCAAGAAATAGAGAAAGATATGAGAGGAATGAACAAACATTGGACAGAACTAGAAAGGGAAGCCCAGGACAGACAGAGTTGTTTGGGGAAAACTGGTTGGGCGGCCTATGCTCCATTGGGGGGTAACAGGCGAAAGTAAGTAAGTAAGTAATCTGATTAAAATTGCATAATCATGTGGGAATAACAATAACTCAAACAATTAACACAAAGAACTAATTTACTTTACATGAGATTGTTGTCGAGGTAAGACAACTGAACGAACGTTACAGTTACTCGGCTGAATTAAAATACGCTGGTTTGTTGGTTGTCCACTCGACAATCGAATTCCAGGGGATATAGGAGGTGAAGTCACAGACTTCAAGATATTACTGGCTGTATTATTCACAGTCCCAGAACTAACAACTTTTAAAGGACGGTTTGTTACAGATACATATTTTGGTTGGGAACCAACTGAAGGTGTTCTTTGGGAAGCGAATGATACATAGGGAATAGATGGATTAGGTGGACATAATGACGAATTGGTTACAAGAGAACCACTTCTGTTTGGTCGCTGAGTAGTAGATAAATTATTGGAACTAGCGGCAACCGGTGTAACCAAATGAGTATTTGAAGTGATTGTGGGTGGGGATCCTGGATTAGTTAGGCTTGATTTCAAAGTGGCTGTAGAAGAACTTAGCAGCCGTGGTGAGATCTCATTGTCACCACCAGGAATAGTGGAAATGTTTTGTTTTGACTTGACTGAAGAATTTTGATATTGCAATCTAGGTTTAGTTGATATAAGAGATGAATGACTAGACAGATGGCTATGGCTTGTCTCTATTTGATCATGAGCAATCCATCGATCTTCCTAAACAGAAAAACGGTAATAAAGACTGTATCAAAGCATTCTTTTGACAATAAAACAACTATAAATTATATAACAGATACTAAGAAAAATGATCGTCACAACATCGGGTGATACATCGTCCAGTATTCTACAGCTAATAGTAGCAATCTAGTATACTTACTGCTTACGTTGCATATTAAAGTACTAATAAACCGTCCAATGAATGATCACTTGTCAACATCCTGTGTTTTCGACTTTCATAAGGTATATTTTACATTGGCAAATTAAGATATATGAGGGCTACTATACGTGACATAATAGCAATAAGAAAAATCTTATGTAGATAAATTCAACTGAAACTTACATTTTCTTGTGCTGAAATTGAGTTCAAAGCTAATAAACTTGTAGGCTCACTGTGAAGACCTGCATTTTCATTACGGTCTATAAATAGAAAAATAGAATTACCAGATTTTAAAGTTTGCACTATGTACAAATCAGATCAGTTATTGAAATCTTTTCGCAAGTTTGACAAAAGCAACAAGAACAGAGTTTGTCATGTTGTTCTCACTTTATTATAATGACGTTCAATAGGCAGAATTAGTTCATGTGAAAACCATGGAGCTGAAAAATCAGTATCAGTTACTTGTGACTAGAAGCAATGAGTAACATGGTTCATAATGTCAGAGATACAGATGTAATGAGTCTTTATTGTTCTTCAAAACTTTAGAAGTTCAAGTATCGCATCAAATAAGTCTTTTAAATTTCTTCCCAAAACATATTCCTTACATATAATCTTCAAGATCATTCAGACATTACTGATAGTCAGTTAGTTGCAACGTAGAACTACGTACGTTAAGTACATCAGTTCATGTTGCCATACCACATTAGCACAAAGACGCAGATGTCAAATCAAATCCCATAGTGATAAAGATAGTAGAGGTATTAATGGTAATGAAGAAGACTAGAGTTCGAAGATATTATTCAAGAAGTATAATTCAGTGAGATAAGGTTAGAAAGACAAAGGTAGAGGTGCTGACGAATCCAGAAGATTAGGATTTGAGAGAGCTCAAAGAATGGATGCAACAGGTTAAATTCATTTGTGATATAAGAGTTCAAGCTAACGTTGGCACCAGATGACACTGATCATAACTGCCTAATTGGGATTAGTTGGGCAACTTAACAAGATACACCAATAAGGCTGTTAGTGGTAGTTGTAAATGGATCAACTTTAAATTTGCACAGTTCCATAATTAGTCCTATAATCAGTAGTAACTATCAGTTAGGGTTAGGAATGGGTAATATAACATTTTATATATAGAAGACTGCTAAATAATAACGATTTACGTTAGTTACCAAGCTGCTTAGATCGATTCCATTTCATAAGTAGTGAACTCACTGTACATTTATATTGATTCTAAGCGGTCTGAATTTTAATGAGGACTATTGGTAGCCTGGTTGCAAACATGTTTCACTTTTTTTCAGTAGATCAATCTACATTGAGAAAATGGTTGTGTCGAAGTGAAACCTTAGAGTAGACTTTAACTTAATAAATGATTACATGAAATAACATAGTATAAAGAATTTTCTGTTATGGACATCTATCTACTTTAGTGAACTTACCAGTGATAGACGGGTCATTCTTGATTTTTTTCAGGTCTTGGTAATTTTCGGAAAAGTTCACGGAACGTTTATTTCCAGCAGAGACCACAGACCTAAAGTGTTACAAATAGTCTGAAACCTACTTTTGAAACGGTTTAGAATCCTCTTTGATAGCGTTTCGACAGGTAGAATGATTATTGATCAATTCATCTAGTAATAAACTAAAATTATAAAGCTAAGGTAACGAAGATTGGGGAACTTACTCTTTCTCATTAGAAACTACACGTATAATATTGTTTAGCTTAGTAATTTCAGATTTGAGAGTCTCATTTATCTTAAGACATGTTAGAAACCAAAGGATAAACAAGCTTACCATGATCTGTTGTTTGCACAGGCTTTTAAGCATCTCATACCGTTCCTCTATGGAGTCTATATGTGTGTAAAAGCATTTTCATTGATAATACCTTGGGATAATTCGTTCATTTCGAGATAAAGTACGTTTTATCCACAGTAGCAGGTCTATTAGCAAGCTTGCTGAGTCCACAAGGGGACTAAAATACATGAAATGAGAAAATGGCCAAGTTTCGTAGCGAATTTCAAAACCGGATGCACGGAATAAGATGGACTTCATCATCAACTAGCACACGAGATAATGAGTGTCAGAAGTTGGGCTTGAAATAAATTTTGATATATCGTTTTTAATTGTTAGTTGTTAAAAAGTTATTTACAGATTATTATTGTTTGTTTTAGTTCATTTCAAAGTACGCGCTCCTCCCAAGGCGCTATTTCAATCTGATAAATCATGTGTTTAGTTGTGACAGTTTCATATTTTCACACTATCTGCTTCTGTTTTCACTTTTTGGGCTTAAAAGTTAACATTTAATGCATTTATTATTTTTAAGTATGATGTTATCAGTGGTAACATTGACATATCCTTTATGAACATAAGTTTATTGTAAGACAAAACGTACTACAATATATAGTCAAACTTTTTTATACAGCTGACGATCCTTGTTTCAGAATTTCCGATGTTCGGTTTCTTCAGTGAAGACAGCAAACCGTTAAGATGTTTCGCTATTTCCATAACTCTGCTTACTATATTGTTTTGATGTACGTACCTCCGAACTTCTGCATGAATGTGGTGATTAACTAGCTCTATTGTTTTGTTGTTCCATAGAATTCTGTGTTAATTTTGTTATACAATTGTTAACAACCAGTGTTGTAGATAGTCTTTGAGGAATCAGGCTGTGTATCCTGGGACACCCGAGTGAGCAACGCAGTTATTATGAAACGGGTGTTAGGTAAGAATGGCAGATCAACAGACGAAGTAGTGAAACTTCATCATTTGAAGTGGTTGGGGCATGTGCCGCGTATGCCTAACCACCGATTGCCTCGACGAGCTTTGTTTTTTAGTGTAGGAGTAGGTTGGAAGAATCTTAGGGTCGGCCAGACCAAAACATGGCAGAAATCCATGAAGTCACTGACAAATGGACTGAGTTAGGTCGGTAGTTGTCGACTACCTGGTTGGGGTCCGCGAAATAGTAATAATCGGTGGTTAGAGACCCTGTATGACATCGCTCAAAACCGTTTGCAATGGCGCCGGTGCATTTATTCTTTGTATTCTCTTAAATCCTAATCTTCTGGATTCTTCAACACCTCTAGTTTTGTCTTTCTAAACTTATCTCACTGAATTATACTTTTTGAATAATATCTTCTAATCCTAACCTCTCCGATTACTTCTAATACCTTTACTACCTCTACTACTATTGGATTTGAATTGACGATTACATCTCTGTGCTGATGTGGTATGGCGACATGAACTGATGAACTTACGTACGAAGTTCTACGTTGCATCTGACTGACTGAATCGGGCTGTCTTCTGAATCGTACATTCCTATTTTCAGTTTTAACCTAATCATTTCAAGGTACTAGTTTATTGTGAAGTGTAGACGTAATTCCTTCGGTCTTGCAGAGGATCTCATGTTGTCCTGCTTCAAAACCGATGGACAGAAGCAGCTGAAACACCGACTGGTCTTAGTTAGAATTAGGGAATTAGAAGTAATCTCATCTGTCGTCTCAATCGCTGATGATCCTCGTCTTTAAGAATTGTCAAAAGTCCTTTTATGAATATCACGAATGAATCGGTTTGACTAATAGTGTCTAAAGTATTAGCTTTGATGATACGACAGTAGCTAATCAAAGCTCGTTGTGAACAAACTCGAGAAAACCAGCCTCGTTTCAGACCTTAACGTGGATATATAGACCAGATTCTCACACTTCGACAGGTCCTTGAGCTCACATTTTGATGTCGAACAGTAGTCATATACCTTGACCCTAAGGTAGCGTTTATTTCCCTTAATCTTGAGGTTCTGTGGTCGCTTCTAGCTACTACGTCAAGTTAGCACGTTAAGATGAACTTATCAAAACAAATCCCAGAACACTAGAATTAATAATATTAGCAAAGATTAGTTTTAGACTATATGATTCGAGAACAAAGAATGAGTCCTTGAGACTCAGGAAGATTAAATGCATGTACATAATTGCAACTGATCTTGGACCGTGTCAAAAATAAGCTATAAAACTTGGCAGTATAAAGTGAAACTAGATTCGATATCTAGGCGAAAACGAAACCTGGATTTACCAGGTTTTCTATTCATACATAAGAATTATATCACGAACACAAATCAAAGAGTATGCACTTTGTTTGTTCATAATAATTGATGATAATACTTGTTTCTAACCTTAGGACTGTAATATATTTTGATTTTACAGTTGCAATACGCTTCCTAGTCTTATTATTTGAGACTTGTTGACCCTACTATTTTATTCAAAAGAGTTACGCTTAATATCCCAACAGATAAGGGACCGCTTATTTTCCTGCCTCTCATCCATCGCTCTACTTGCTTTCCTACAGACCGTTTATATTTCTTGCTGGTTTGTCTCTTTGTTTCAAAGGGTAATGTCTACATTTCTGAAAAAAAACCAGCTTAAGAACCGTAAGTTTTGAGCGTAGTTGTCACAAAACGTTATTCATGGTCTCCTCAAACCCCTCTCTTAACTACATGTTGGAGCTTTTAATGTCCAGACATTGCCAAGTAAGACAACAGGTTTCATTAGTAAGGACTCTGGAATTTAGCGCCAAAAGACGCATACAGGAGCCGAACAAACTCATTAGTTTGATCTCAACTTGTCCAGATAAAGAACCAACTGGGTTTGCGCTTCGTATATCTGGAAGCCCTGCTTCTGCTTTCCAAGAAAGACACCTAGGTGGACCCTATGGTGTTGCAGCTCAAAGAACATAATGGCAAACGTCTGCTGTAACCATACTTAGATAACCGCCTATTTCTGGCAAATACTAAATTTAAGCATATGGCATGGCTACGCTCAACGACTACTCGACTCTGAATCCTACTAAAACACATTACTGTCAAGCACCTTTGAAGAGGCTCGATAGAAGACTACCGCTCATTCTAGAGCACATGTTTAGATCCAGATTTTGCTCTAGTTCCTTGACCTTTTTATTTTCCTTCGGCCTTGAGGATTCCCAGTGAGAGCTTGTCTTGTGACTCGCTTGAGTGTTTTCCTCATTGTGTGTCCCATCCACTCCCAGTGCTTCTTTCTGAATTTCTTCCTCCGCTGGAATCTTGTTTGTTGCGGCTTATGGTGTCTGTCCGAATTATTTTGCATAGAAAACTGTTCATAAGCACGTGTATCTTCTCCAAGTTTCTGCCCCATACAGTAGAACTGTCTTAACATTTGTATTAAAAATTGACTTTGGTGTTGGTTGACAGTTGTTTTTAGTTCCAGATCTTCAATTGTAGAAATGCTACCCTTGTTTTGTCGATCCACTCCACATCTGCGTCAGATCCACCGTGCTCATCAAGTTCGCCGCACAGATACGTTAAGGTTTTAACGTCTTTGAAAGCTTCACCGTCTTTCGCGATATGGTTGGTGCATGTTGTGTTGTATCGGAGAATCCTGAATTTTCCTTTTGTGAATGTTGAGACCTGCTGCTAAGGCTGCTGTTACACTAGTCATCTCTTGCATTTGTTGTTGCATGTGTGATAGAAGAGCCAGATCGTTTGTGAAGTCTAAATCATCCAGCTGCATCCTAGTTGTCCACGGTATCCCGTGTTTCCCTTCAGATGTTGACGTCTTCATAATCCAGTCAAACACCAGAAGAAAGAGAAAGGGTGGGAGTAAGCAACATTGTCTGACACCGGTCTTCATCTCGAACGAGTCTGTTAGCTGTCCTCGCACAATTTTGCAGTCTCATCGGTCATGAGAGTTCCGTATGATGTTGACTGATTGTCCTAGTATATACGAACAATCACAGCGGAAACAGTTGAACCAATATACTATCTAAAATATTAGCTTCAGTAATACTATGATGCCTAAGTAAAGCTTGTAAAGAATGAATTCGAGAACATTATGCTGGTTTCAAACCTGGGCGTAAATGTGTAGACCATATATTCACACTTCATCAGGTCCTAGGACATAGACACTCATTCAGGCGTCCGACAATACTTGAATTTTTTGATCCTAAAGCTCTGTTGCATTGTCTGTCGTTAAAAGGTATGTCAGATAAATATATTAATCTTATCCAGGCTCTTTACTCGAACACTACAAGTCGAGTGAGTGCTTATTGCGAAGTGTCATGGGAATTCATTACTGCAAGTGATGTCTGTCAACTTTCTCTCTCCTTATTTAGATTTCTTATCTATATGCTTTTAGAGTTAACATCATCATCTGACTTTTTAGGAGTGGACCTTCCACCAGGAGACTTGCTTGTTGACCTAGAGTATGCCTATGACAGTTCTATTTCGAGAAGATGCAGAGTCTACCGACCACCTTAAGCAACAATGCAAGCATGTTCGGGATGCGACTCCCTCGATCGAATCCCAGTGTTGCTTCAGTATTGGATTGCGTCGGCGGCACCTGAACTAGTGATAGAGAGTGAAGCAGTTAAGCGTGTCGACTGGTTCACTTATTTTAAGTGTCATCAGTGCTGATGGTCTGGTTTTTGACGAAATCTGAGCAGCAGGGATACCGAAGGCTCGATTGGCTTTTGCCAACTTATGTCACTTATGGAGTGGACGAGATATCCGTTTACTAACTGGTGACGAGCTTTCTGTGCATCAGTTCACTCCGTCCTACTATATGGATGCGAAATATGGCCAGTAAGAGTAGAAGATATTTGTAGGGGTATGCATTACGTGTGCCCAACCAGCGACTGCCTCGACGAGCTATATTTTGCGGTGTAGGAATATGTTGGAAGAATGCTAGGGGCGGCCGGACCAAAACATGTCACAACTCCTTGAAATCACTGACAAGTGGACTGAGTTATGTTAGTAGGTGTAGACTGACTCAGGTAGTCAGTCAGCTATGACGTAAAACATCGTACGTACGTATATCATTTCAATTAACCATACCACTTTAACTTTGTCTTCACTCAATTCCCCATGACAGTTTTTTTGTCTTTAAACTGATTCTGCGGCGATATACTCTTTGGATCATATCTTCAAATCCTGTTCTTTTCGATTACCGCTGTTATTTCTATTATCTCTACCACTGGGCAACTTGAACTGATGTTTGTACGTACGAGGTTCTGCTTTATGGCTGACTAACTAATAACCCGTAAGTCACAGATACACACCGTCCCTAACCTGACTTGGTTACTGGGTAATATAACTATTCCTTATTAAAAAGTATGTCTGAAACCCGAGTCCATACACCTGTCATCTCTAAATGGACTCAATCGTTTTATGTATACTTTATGATCTTGTATGATAAGGGGATTTAAATGAAGATTTATAAAATTTTTATTTGTGAATTTGCATACAGTTTTTTAACCTGTATTTTTTAATTTATCTAGCTTGATGACACGTCACTCAAAAAACTGTACAGCTCATACAGTATATACTTATTATGAGCGAAAAAATGATGCACACAGATCAGGTTTTGGCACTCAAGAAATCCGTCTAGGAAAAGATTCAGTGAAGGCTCTTGATTGTTGCTCTCTTTGTTTACAACCAGCCAAAGATCCTGTCGTTACAAGTGATGGATTTCTCTATGATCGAGCAGTAGTTCTGGAATATATTGTTTCTCAAAAAGCTGAAATTCAACGGAAACTTAAATTATATGAAAAACAGAAAGCTCGTCTAGATGCTGAAGCTAAAATGGTTCTCAAGGCTGAAAAAGAGGAAGAAGCCAGACGATTTCTATCAATGAATACTCTCGATACACATTCAAAGGCCTCTGCACAAGCAGCTGAAGCAGAAGCTTTGGCCTCATTATCCAATAAACGAAATAGTTTAGATGAAAAAGCTTCATGTTTCTGGGCTTCTAGTAGTAAAACAAATGAGAAGTTGAATAAAGAACTCTTAGATAAACCTGATACTGTTGTTCGATGTCCAATGAGTGGTAAACCATTAAAATATAAAGATTTAGTTGGTGTAAAATTCACTAGCTTTGAGGATGATTATAAAGTTATGGGTTTTAATCAGAATAAACAAGTAGTAGATCGTGAAGTCAAATATTGTTGTGCAGTTTCTAAAGATCCACTTACAAATGCTACAGTATGTGTTGTTCTTAAAACTTCTGGTGCTGTTGTAACTAAAGAAGTTGTTGATAATGTCATTAAAAAAGAAATGATTGATCCGATTAATGGTCAAAAAATGAAATCAACTGATTTTATTGAACTTCAAAGAGGATCTCTTGGATTTGCTGATGAACGAATTGTGCTAACTGCCAAACGTGTTCGTCCATCAATGCAAACTTGAATTTTTTTTATTGATTTTTTATTTTTGACATTGTATATATAATTTACGAAATTTTGTATGTACAAAATCAAATTAAAAAAATACATTATTCATTGTTGATTTTTTTTGAATTTGAATGAAAGACGTTTTTTTTCCAATTCTAAAAAAAATTCATTTTTTATACACTAATACAGTGGTCTACTATAGTGCAATTTATTGGCTATTTAAAGCTACCAATTTATCCGATTAACTCTGAACAAATAGAAATTTTGCAGACTCCACAAGATTTCTTTCATGGTTTATTGGTATGTACTTTTTTCTCATAATACGCATTTTTTTTACTTATGTATAATTTGTTCATCTTATTCAATTATTATAATTTTTATACTTATTTATGCTTGTTAGTAGTCCTCATGGAGCACATAGGTCACCGACAAAGATTCTCCAATTAGCTCTATCCTCGCCTCTCCTCATTTTTTTCCTAAGTGCCATCTGTTCTTTTGATGTCTGCCTCCAATTCTCAGGAAGTATTTGTTTGTTGTCATTTTGTTTTCGTCTACTTTTTTTTAAGAAAAAAAAAGTCGATTCCACTAGGATATACTTCTTGAATCATACCTTCAATCCCAAACCTTTTTGATCAATGCTAATACTTCTACTACTATGGGATTTGAATTGACAATTCGATCGCTTTGTGTGCTAATGTGGTATGACAATTTGAACTAATGTACGTACGTACGTACGAAGTTCTATATTTAGGCTGACTGACATATCATACCGACCCTACAACGGTGGTCTGCACATACAAATACGGTTCAGACTTATAATCAATAGCTTCATAAATTGGTGTCAAATTTAATTTGCTCTTCAATAGTTCTTTTCTAGTCTACTATTTCAGGTAGGGTTGTATATCAAATGTTGTAACGCTTGCTTAGATAATTCCCAGCTAAATCCTATTGCTTAGTATTCTCTGACCACAATACACTGGACAAGTTCCCAAGAATCAAAAACACGGTTGAACAGGAAAAGATTATATTCCAAATAGCAAGGTTAAATGGAAATAAGAAGCCAAGGGTGATGGCGAAGGCAAAAATAGATATAACATTAGTTTATTTATAGCATTTACATGAGTAACTTCTGGATAGAAATTCATGTGATCGAATGGATTAGATTTAACCAATCAGCATGCAGCTAACATTACGAGAATTTTATACTCTGTTCTCCAAGAATCGATCAGGCGCTGATTTGATAGGAAATTAGCCCATCAGCGCGTAGCAACATAGTCATGCCTTAATTCCATCTATGTCCCACTAACAATCAAGGAATAGGATCACTGTGAATCCTTAATGCCTACCCTCCCAGTCATCTCATTTGATAAAGTTATGCAACCGGTTTCTCATCTTCACCCATTGTCCTAAATTACTCCGGCTCATTTGGCTGTTTCACGACACGTGAACAATACCAAGCTCTACGTTGCAACTTACTGACTTATAGTCATCAAGCAAATCACTTAATCAAACTATTCATTGAAATAATATCGAATTTTTCTTGTTTAAAGTTTAATTCCTTAATCTGATAATTCTGACCTACCACGTTGTAAAATTTCCAATACATTTTTCCATTCATTCTAACTAGTATCATATAGAGAATGCCAAAAAACGAATTGTTTTGTCAACTTTATACATTGGAACAGGTGCATTAGAACATGAATTAGTAAGTCAATTTCTTTTTTTTTGTTGTGTGTGTTTAGTATTCCTTATATGCGTGTATTATAATTAGAACAACACATATATAATTAACAGACTTTGGTATTATTCTAATATTATTTCAACCGAAGCAGCTTGGATAACTCTCCTGGTCTCTCACGTGTATGCACCGTAGTTAATGGTTGCTCTGGTTGTCAAAGGGGACATCAGCCTCGTGACTTCCGAAGAAACTCGGCTTTCATCAAATGACTTCATAACTCTTCTGAATAAAGGCCTTCTAATTCCTAGGGCAGATTTTAAATGGTTTGAATTATTTTTCTTGTTAGAATTTTATAGCGAGTTAGTATTCTAAGGGATGGGGTCGCCAACCCTAAGCCCAACCCTCCTTCTTTATCCAGGTTTGGTACTGGTAGTAGCCCCAGAGGAGCTTACGGCGAAGTTCCATCGTTTTAACGAAATACCGATTAATTTAAATGATTATTTCGACAGATGGGTTTTTAATTCAAGGCCTGTTGTTTCCTTTGATAAAGATTGATTATATCTTTGTATTATATTGTTTTTTAGAATGAATTTCATAAATTAGTGATCTAACCCCTCCTGACACTTTTTTTACGCTTAATTTAGTATCACTTCAGTTAATGTCGGGGTTTTTTTGTGCATTGCGCTCTCAAATACATCGGTACAGCTGAGAATGTGTGTCCGCTCGCATATATGGCCATACTTATACAACAACCGATAGAGAAATCCTACTCATTGCCTTCTCGTGTAACACGGGTGTTATTTACGAAATTGAGACAACGAATAGTGAGTGTCCAGTGCTTCAACTAGGTTGGTGAGCAAGGAGAATCTACCTAGGGTAGTTAGAAAACTGTGATTCCAAATTGATAGTGCACATGAGCTCTTCAATCCTGAGGGCGCAAATGATGTGTGACCTTATTTTTGGTCATCAGTTTTCATGAGAGCACTTCCTCGTGGATCAGACGTTTAGGCTTATGTCTTTGAGAATGGCTCCTTGATTCTATTTGGGCACCTGGATAGTATCCTATTTCACCTAAGAATGCTACTGCCGGTCCCGAACCCGGATAAAGAAGGTACATTGGGCTTGGCGTTGGCGACCCCATCCCTTAGAATACTAACTTGCTAAAAAAACGCTAACGAGCGAAAAATAATTCAAACCATTTAAAATCTTCCCTGGGAGTTGAAGGATCTTCAGAAGAATTATGACGTCTTGTGCTGAAAGCCGAGTTTCTACCGAATTCACGAGGCTGATGCCATATCTGACAGACAACCTTTTCACGGTGTGAGCAGCCCAAAAGTGACATCCGTCCTCATACCCGTAACAGCACAGACCAAATTGATAACAATTGAGTCCTTCCTACTCCCCTAACATATCTCTTATTTCCACGACTAACACTTCTCACATTGCTTTATCACCCCACACCGCTAATGCAATCGATTCGAGTTCACAAAACGTTATTCCGGGTCTCTTGAAACTCCGCTTTATACTCTATGTTGGAGACTGTAATGTTCGCACTTGTGTCAAATAGGGCAACAGGCTACCTTAGCGAGGACTCTGGAATCTCGTGCCATTGATGTATGCTGCATCTCCAAAACATGCATACAGGATTTCACCTTGTCCAGATAAAGAATCGACTCGGTTTACGCTTCGTGTATCTGGAAGCCCTGTAGCTGCTTCTCGTTGCCTTGCTTGTGTAGGTATTTTCCTAGGACATAACTAGCTATCTTAGACTGGATTCCAGTAGATAGTCGATTGTGCGCTGTCTGTCACAGTTGATCGAACAGATAATGGCGACCGTCTGTTGCAGCGATGTTCAGATAAGCGCCTATTTCCAGCAATCACTAACTTTAAGCATAAGGAGAAGCATCTTTTGACATGGTGACTCCCGAAGTCGTCTCAACAATGGACCCGACTAGATCACATCGCTATCATCCACCGATGGAGGTGTTCGGTAGAAGACTGTCGCTGGTTCTGGGCACATGTTTAGATTCAGATCGTGCTCTAGTGTGAGTGCGTATTTGAATGCAGTTTACGAGACGTAGGAAATTCACCTCAAGTAAACCCCTGATGGTTCTATTTAATGACAGCTTAGCTAAGAATATATTTGAGGAGCAACTAGAAAGGCAGTTAGACGTCCACGAAATTGATTTCCACCCCGAGGCAGGTTTGAATGATATCGAAAAAGCTGTGGAAACAGCAGTGATATCTGCTAGTAAGGTAAACCGTAAGGCTAGGAAGAAGCCGTGGATCTGAGTAGCATCTACCGAACTGACAGATGCTCAGAAACCTATCCTGTTTGGCTCTGAATACGATGAGGAACGGAGTCTGCCTAAGGGTGGGGTGATATGAAGCCTACTCAATGATCTCGAATAGTGGTGGTTGACGAAAGCAAGTGAGATGGAAAAGACAACGATGATAGGCAACAGTAGGTAACTGTTCAGATTTACCAAGGATACCGGTATTAGGAATCCGATTGTAAGTGGAGCTATCTCGGAAAAGCATGGTCGTATCATTCATTCTCAACCCAGGAGATTGAATGGATGTGCAGAACTTTCAGGGATCATTTCAACAGGCCCTCTGGCACGCTTCGGTTGCTGGTGATCTTTAGTCGACATGAATGGCAAATCGATGTAAGTCCTCTAACTCTCTCTTGGAAGTTGAAAAAGCTATAGGAAATCTAAAGCGAGGGATAGCAATGGGTTCTGATAGGCTAATTCCTGAGATTTTTAAAGGTGGTCCAGTTTTAGCAGCTAGGTTGACTGAGATCTTAGGTAGAATCTGGGAAGTGTGTGTAATCCCATTTTACTGGTCTCAATCCCTTATTGCCCTAATTTATAAAAAAGGATAGATGTCCTCTTGTGACAATCACAGTTTAACTAGTATAGTGTCTAAAATGTTAGTCTCGTTAATCCTTAGACGCCTGACTAGAGCTCGTGAAGAGCAGATTCGTGAAAATCAGGCTAGTTTTAGACTTGAACATGGCTGTATGGACCACATTCAGACTACGACAGGTTGTAGAACATAGACACAGATCTAGGCGTTCGACAATATTCGTCTTCCCGAACCTTAAGGCGGCATTTGACTCTGTTTGTCGTGAGATTCTGTGTTATGGTTAGAGACGTTGAATAACATGGCTCAAAACGTTTTGCATCCTTTTCTCGTGTTCCATCAAATCCAAATCTTCGGATTTCCTCATGATGTTTTTTTATCTTTCTTTGTTTAACTGATTCTTAGATTTAAACTGGCAATTGCGTATCTGTGCTTATGTGTAATGGCGAATTGAACTGATGTACATACTTACGAAGTTCTACGTTGTACCTGAAGCTGGTCAGCCTAAAATGTAAAAATATCAATATTGAAATAATATGACCGTGACTGACATGCACAACTGATGAGTACTAACTAGCATGAAACCTCGTGTTACGAGTTTGCTATTGATTATCCCCGACCGCCCGACATTTAAATATAATTCATATATTGTTATGTCACTTAGACTAGTAGTTACAGTAAATTGATCGATATAATTTGATCATTACTTAAAGAATTAAAAAGATTTGACTTTCATTACTGAAATCACAAACTAATCTAAGCTAGATCACCACTAAAAACCTGGAAACATTTGACGGCCGCCATTTAGTCTTAGTATATAACTCCTCAGCAGTACGTATTCACAACACACGCTTGCCGGAGTCGAACCCAGGCCCTCCGGTCTAGTTAGAAGTCATGACCAGTGAATTTCAACTGTGTTCGGCGTCAGACAGCTACCCACCAAAAACAGTAATAGAAAGTTGTGTAACATGTTTACCTACGTACTTATGCCTGTTACGCCTAATAGACCATAGGCTCTCGGCCAGCAAATTATTTTTCTGGTTTGCGTCTATTTTTTAGAGAGTTGGATTTCTACGTGATTGGGTCGCTAATCCCATGCCTATTATTATTATTATTATTATTGTTTATTTTTATACTTTTATTTCTTTAAACATTTATTTATTTCAGGTTACTGCATTAAAAAAAGCTGTTCATGAAAGAAATGTAAAACTTACAATTTTAATGGATGCAACACGTGGTCTACGTCCTTGCTTAACCACTCAATATTATACCAACAATACTTTATTATCATCCTCCAGTAAAAATTTATTAGAATCACCATCGTCATCATCATCATCATCATCATTGTCTAGTTCATATTCTTCATGTCATTTTTTAAGTCCATTAACTCATTTATCGAATGTATCGATTCTCTTATATAGTCATCCATCTCCTCATAAATGGATTCGTTCTATATTACCTAGTCGTTGGAATGAAATATTTGGTGTACAACATATTAAAGCATATATATTTGATGATACAATTATTATGAGTGGGTAAGTTGTATTACTTATTTACTTACTTACTTACTTCTGTTACCCTGAATAGAACATAGTGGGCACCAACCCAGCATATTGTAACTTGTAAATAACAATATTTGTGGTTGGTGATTGTGATGATGATGACTTTGAGCAGGTAACTGCTTCACATGAAAGAGATGTATTTTGATTTATTTTCGTTATGTGGAATAAAAATATAATATATTGGTTTGTTGGGCCACTCACTGGCTACGAGCATATCAGGTACATGTTTGGTTACAGCAAGCTTCACCTAGAACCCTTCTAGGGTTACTACCGGTCCCATGCTCGAATAAAAGGAGGAGGGTTGGGTATTGGTTTAGCAACCCCATCTAGTAGAAATCCAACTCTCGCTAAAAAAGCTGGCTAACCAGAAAAATGATTCGCTGATTGGCGGCCTGTGCTCCATTAGGGGCAACAGGTGTGAGTAAATAGGTAAGTAAGTTAGTTACACAAAAACTAAAATTGGCTTATGAAGATTATAAGGAAATCCATTTGAAGTACATGATAAACAAAATATATTATTTTTCGTCATTAGTATAAATTCGAATATTTTTTGGCTAATGAGAAGTGGCTAAATAAGACCACTTGGTGACGATCCCCGACCGTAGCTGCTACCTTGACTTGGTGGTCTGACTTGCCTATCATGATGACCCAACTGAGCTATATTGGCTGGAACATGCATTCCTGAAGGTTCTACCATGCCAGGTAGGTCGATTGGAGGACGATGACACTAAAAGCAGCTACTCAAGGTCTGACGGCGAAGTTGTACTGCTGACTGTAGAGAGGTGTGACAGCAGTAAGATGTTTCCCTCGGACAGTCAGCATCTGCAGCGATGCTGCCTTCACACAAGGAAGCAATGGTTAGAAAAGGTCGACCCTAAAAATGTCACACCTCATCTTACCTCACGGATTTCCTCCCTCATACCTGTATCAACACACGAGACCAAATCGGTCACAATAAAATCCTTCCTACACCCCCTAACATCTCTCTTGTCTTCACGTCTAACCCTTTATCAGGTCTTAGCTCACTAACTGACTGATGGAAATCAGAAATGTTCCCTAAAGTTCGAATGTATATCATTGGTCAGGAAGTGGATTGATTTTTAAGGAGAAGAAATGTATTGATACAAATGAGTATTTATGTATATCATTCAGTAATCGAATAATAGTTAGTTTGGTTACAGGGTATGGGGTTTAGTATGTTTCATATAATTAGATCTGAGTCATGGTACATCATAACATACCTAATAAATAGTAAATTTGTCAGGGATAAGAATTTGAAGAGAGTATTCATCATGGGACCATTTCGTCTGTACTGTCAACTGGTTCATTCTAGTTTTTAATCCCATATCCATCTTCAACCACTGCCCAGGATTTTTAAGTCTTATGGCTTGTACTATTTTTTTTAATTCTAGCTAAATGTACTTAAGAAATCTCTTCAAAAATATAACATTTTGAAAAATTCTTATTTTAAACACGTAAGTATTGGCGCAAAAGAAGCATCTAAATATTTTTTTTCACTCTATGCAAATTATTGATTTGTGTGTGTGTCGGTAACTACCTGGTTGCCTAAAACGAAAGCAAAGGTTTTTAAAAAAATTAATAAAATTAGATAGAATTCTGTAATGTAAATTTTAAGATTATCAGAAAGATTTTAACTAGGATTCATCATCGATTCAAATATAACCTACTTTAAAGAAACAAATAAATTTGGTGTATTATTGTAGATAGAATATGTATGTATACGTGTGTTTGTATGCTGTCTAAAAGGGATTACAATTTTTTATCGTGTGGAAACTTCATTTCCATGTAACCTTGTCCTTTTGAGTCGTCGACCAATCAAACTCGTGGTATTTCTAGTCGTTCAATTGAGAACCTATTTTTCTGATGAAATATGAGCTAGTCTGGTTCAAAGGTGAAACAGTATTTCACAAAGCTAACTTCTAAAGTCATGTCTTTTCACCTGTATGTATCCTAAACAGCGAGGCTGATAATATGTTGGAGAGATGTTAGCTTGTGTTGGAGTTTCAACAGAAAAAGAGTTAGCCGAAGAATTAACAGTTTTTGGCAATCAAGCTTTCTATCTGGAGTTGCAGCTTTTGTTGTAATAGATTTCGTTTACGAAACGTAGGGAAGCTAATTATTTCACAAGATGTTCGCAGTATGCGTCGTCGTGTATTCAGACAATCAAAACGTTCTGGTTAGTTTGAGATTTTTCCCAATATTGACTTAATAAGTAGTTTTGAAACCTTCGCAGCACACATCCAACCCTACCATGAACCATATTCAGAATATTTAAAACTCGTGATCAGCGTACTGCTTTTAGGTTACTACGATTATCCAACTGCATCACGAGGCAAGCCGTGTGAGTAAACCCTCAAGATCAAAGGAAAATAGGTAAACCGACGCCAACATATTACGCCGATAATTGGAAACAGACACGAAACGAATAGATTAAACAGAATTGCAAGGGAGGGCCACAGCTGGCTGGAGAATGTTGATTAGGTGACCTATGCTTCCGATTAAGGGGTAACCAAAAGTGTCAATAAGTAATATACCACCAATTGTCATCCCAATCTCTGAAACATTGAAATTTATTTTCCAAGTTGCAGTTACCTTTGGTGTGCATGTGTGTGTTTTGTTTGGTTTTTGTTCAATTGATTATCTAGTGAAAATTATTACAAAAAATTTAATCTTCTATTTATTCAAATATTGTTTTGTTTTGTTGTTCAAATTCTTTTTAGAGCAAATTTAAGTCATGAATATTTTACTAATCGACAAGATCGAACATGGATATTTAAAAATGTTCCAAATTTAGCAAATTTTTATTGTGATTTAATTCAGAATGTAATTAGTAAATTTTGTTATTCCTTATGCTCAAATGGTAGTTTAATAGCTAATCGAAATGATATTATGTCAGGTAAGTTAGTCAGTGAGTGAGTGAGTGAATGAATAAAAATAATCTTAACAACTAGAATGAATTTTCTCCGTTTTCTACAGTTCATTTTTATACATTCATAATTTAATTTTCAATGACGAATTCCTACTAGTGTGACATAATTGAAGTGATGTATGATTGTGAAACGAATGTAGACAGAATATGCTTAGCTACTTACTTACATCTGGGGCTCCTTTGGGGCTGCTGCCGGTCACGCGCCCAGATAAAAAGGAGGAGGGTTGGATTTGTGGTTAACGACTTCATCCCATAGAAAATGAACTAGCTAAAGAAACGCTAACCATGTCTAGTTACATTAAATGTAAAAGATCACTGTATATCTCCATCAGTTGATTTGCCATCCTTACCTAGCAGCACCCTTTTACTAACAACTACATTGCGTACTCGGTGGTCCCAAGATATGCGAGCGATGCTTCGAAGATACTTATGATCGATTACTAGCAACTTACAAATATATCCTCAACCCTTACTGGCCATGTTTCACAGTCATAAAGTGGGACGGAGCAAACTAATGCACTGTAACCCCATCCTTTGGTTGGTAGAGAGATATCTCGCCTATGCTATAAATGACGCAGGTTGACAAAAGCTGGTCGAGCCTTCTGTATCTGTGCTGAGATTTCGTTACATATCAAGTCATCAGCACTGATGAGACTCCCAAGATTAAGTGAAGCGTTCGATGTACTCAACTACTTCACTCCCTTTCACTAGTTCAGGTACCGATGCACCCGATTATATTCTAACCAATCAAGTTGAATCTGAAGAAATCATAGTTATCAATAGGTTAGTATGTTTGTATTTTTTTAAAACATGTTTTCTTTGGCTAAACAATATGAAGGTTGCGTGTAAGGATACTCTCGAATGAATAACGGAGAACACAGAAATTGAATTATTTCTGTTATGCTCGTCAGTTTATATGCTTGGAACTATTACGAGTTCACCTTAGTCAATAAACGAGAACGAGACAATGAACCAGTGACACGATAGGCTACTGTTATCCGCTGCCCCAGCTAAGTGTATTCTACAAGCACTGAGAAAATATAATGATCTCAAGCACACAAATCGAGTTTATTTATACATCATAGAAACGTCCTTGGAAGAGCCACAAAAATAGCGTACTAAAATAACACATCAACCAATCACAGCCAAGGATTTTCCTGGTGAGAAATGTGATCTTAAGGTCAGCTGATCGGTCCATGAATAAAATCCAGAATTATGACCTTTATCAAGTGAGTCCTGGGGATCTAACTTCCCCAACACTCCTCCCCTTTTTAATGGCTTGCGCTCCTGGGGTCGACTTGCATCTTGACTGTTGTTCATCGCTGTCTGAGAGGATACCTTCTGGAACGGAGATCAGTTTGTTGTTGGGTTTCTCTCCTGGTTGGGCTGCCGATAAGTTGAAGGTATCTAGCAGGATGTCGGGGGGAAGATTTGCTCCTGTTGATGGACGATCTGGGGCTATCCGTTTGTGTATCTGATTTCGATGGCGTGACCATCTATCACCTCCTACCTCTCCGTCGTACGCTGATTGCCTTTTCCACTTTGTCTCTACCAGTATTGATGCATTACTCGGATGCGTCAGGCTATGGATCGTCTTCAGTCTTCTTCTCACCAGGATCTAACCGTCCCCAACAATTTCGAAATAAGACACCAATATTATAGTTTTGGCATTCTTAAAGACCAAGTACAAATCAACTAAGAATTTTAACAATAATTAACTGGATTGATTGATTGCAGTCACAAATGAATGCGCATGATGTAACAACAACACAGTTGATCACATCAAGAGTTTTGTCTTAACAACAAATCAATTAATTAATTAATTTTTGTGTTGTTTTTTTCTTTCTTGTCTCACCGTTTTCCAGCTCATCATCGCTCATCATTTCGTCAACAATTTCATAATGATTTATCAAGCTTTCTAATGAACAAACATCAAGAATCCATGGCTCATATCAATGATCATCAAATGTCTTCATCATCATCATCATCGTCATTATTGTCGTATGACAGTTATATTATTCCATTATTACAATATGGGTATTGTAATGTACAATATGAAAAAGAATTTTTCAACTATTTATTTCATTCTATCAATACATTGAAATTATACAAAGTATTTTTAACATCAGGTTATTTTAATTTAACAACATGTTATGAAAATTTACTAGTGAATTTATTAAATACCACAACGAATGATGCTAATAGTAATCACAATAATACCATGAATTTATTATGTGCTTCACCAATGGTAAATGAAAATTAGTGCTTCTCTTGTTATATATATATATATATATATACCATGTTGGTTTTTATTGCCATTTTTTATTAAAATAGGTGTCTCGATAAATTTCATTTCATACTAAAAACTCTTGTCAACCAATGCTATCGGCAATCGGTTTGAATATTTAGGCTAACTTTTTCAACGAGTTACTTCTTTTTACTTGTTTTGTTTGACCCATCTATTGTGCTTATTGATCGCATAATCTATTCAGGGCGAGTATATAAAAAGTTCGCTCGCTATCGCTGGCCAATGTCTAAGATATTGGGTTGAATAATACTTTGACGCCTAACTATGGCTCTTAAAGAGCAGACTCGAGAAAACCAGGCTGATTTCAGATCTACATGTGGATGTATAGACCACATATTCTTATTAGGTCAGGTCCTAGAATGTAGACACATGTTCAGACGTCCCACAATAGTAGTATTTTTCGACCTTAAGTCGGTATTTGACTCTGTTGATCGTCAGGTTTTATGGCAGTGTCTCTCACGGAACGGAATAATACGAATAATGCGAATACTCGTAAAACACCAAAGCTCTAATATGTGTGGGTGTTATGGTTTACTGTTGGTTCTATTATTCTCATCATAAGAAATACAATTCCTTTCGAATAAGATTTCCCAGTAGTAGAAATAAACATCGCTTGTGTAATTGTACACTTACGCAAAATCAAAAGGTCATTACATTCATTTAATGTAACAACGTGAAAACTATTATTGTGTTTAATGTGTTCAGTTATTTAATTTTTAGTCGATTAAGTAACTTGTAAATATGAGACCTAAATGTTACCTGAAATTTGGTAGTATATTTTATGTGTTCAATTAGTGTAGATTATAAATATTAAAGTTGTTTTGTTACTTATTTCGTGCTTGAAATAATATACATATATATATATATATATATATATATATATATATATATATTTAATCTATAATCAATGCCATATTCACACATATTTTTAGGCCAATGGATTTTTAAAGTCGAAAGGTTTATCCGGTTACATACCATTAGCGTATAGAGAAGCTCTTATAAAATTACTTCAATTATTCCATACTACTAACACGAATTATAGTAGTAGTGTCAATGTTTATGAATATAACAGACCAAATTGGACATTTCATGCTAAAGGTTTATGGATTGAAGGTGGTGATATTGAAAATGAGAAAGTGGATGATATAGGGAAGACAACGAACAAGATGAACAAACATCATCAACAATGTTCTTATAGTTTATCCTTAGTTGGTTCATCGAATTTCAGTTATCGTTCATTGAATAGAGATTTAGAAAGTCAATTATGTGTAATTACAACTAATCAGCATTTACGTCAATCGCTTTATCGTGAACGATGTCATCTGTTCTCATCGAATTATTGTTATCCTGTTTATTTGAATCAATTAATTTATCAAACAGAATATCGTCTACCTGTATATATCAGAATTATACTACCAATATTACGTTGGTATATGTAAATTGTTTCTTTTTCACAACTTATCGCATCTCTACTGTTTCAGTTTATTTTACATAGGAAAAGTTAAATAATTAACAGCTACTTCCTCTATTGTCTTATTATTTTACACTCTTGTTTATTATGTGATTGTAAATAGATTAGTATTTTATGTATAGTTATCGACATTCGACTTAATTATTTCCTATGTTGAACTACAATAACAAAAATTCTTCTTATTGTATTTTATCATTTTTTACTACTACTAACAATACACATGTCTTCCTTATTATCAACTTGTACTTTGATCTTTTAAATGTAGTAGTTGTGTTTGAGGTGGTTGGGACATGTATGGCCAACCACCGACTGCCGCGACGAACTATGTTTTGTGGTGTAGGAGTAGACTGAAAGAAAGCTAGGGGCGGCCAGACCAAAACATGGCAGAAATCCATGAAATCACTGACAAGTGGACTGAGTCATGTTGGTAGATGTAGACTACCTGGTTGGGGTCCGCGAGACGAAAGTCACCGATGTTTAGAGACCTTGAATGACATGGCTCAAAATCATTTGCAATGGCGGAAATGCATCCATTCGTTGTGCTCTCTCAAATCCTAATCTTCTGGAATCGTCAGCACCTCTACTTTTGTCTTTCTAACCTTATCTCACTGAATTATACTTCTTGAATAATATCTTCGAACCCTAGTCTTTTTCCTTACCATTTATACCCTTACTATGTTTATCACTATGGGATTTGATTTGACATTTGCGCCTCTGTGCTAATGTGGTATAGCAACATGAACTGATGTACATACGTACGAAGTTCCACGTTGCAACTGACTGAGTAGTTGTGTTAATAATCAAAGTTGACAGGATAAGAAATCCTGTCAGATTTTGATTAACTACTTACTGTAATTTAGACATTTAATTCATTTTAGTATACAATTGTGTCATGATGATGAAGTGCATCTCTTCATTTTGACATTGTTTATCCATTCTGTAAATGTTTAAAAATCCTCATCAATTAAACACATTTATATCCAAATGAAAAATATTCTTTTCGATCAACTCTTATCAGTCGGTTCTACAATTCTGTATATCCTAATTCTGTTGTTCAACTCTAAGTCAATATATACATTGTATAAAATTATCATAATATGAATGTATTTAGGATTGTTTATGAAATAAAATAACATTTTTTTATGCTGAAAATGAATTATTATGTAGTGTTGACTTGAATAAATTATTGATAGTTTTTTTTATCTTTTACTTGATGATCAAATATCTTTCGACGATTGAAATTTAAAATAGAAAAAATACACCTAAAAATGCACAAATCAATTTGTTTAAATGCAATTCATATTAACGAAATAAATTTTCAACCAGAAAATAGTTTGACCTTGATTCATTCCAATTCATCAACTATCAACCAATCATAACGAAGTAAATCATAATTTTCACAATGTTCATGTTTTGGTCACGAAATTTCGGATGAATATGAGATTTGTTCAAGCTGCTTAGTCTCAGTGAAATTCAGTTGTGGTTAAGCAAAGTATGATGTGACACTAGATGACGTGTATTGGAATCTCAGAGGACAGATATATTTTACTGGTGATTGTCAATTATCATGATATGTAGGGTAGGCCTGAGGTCAAAATGCTAAGTGTTTATAGATGCTTATTTCAAGTTAACCAAGTCAAAATTGAAGCATCGCTTGTTTACAAGCAACAAACACTAGCTGGCTCTGTGATCATATCATAAATGTATACGGTGACACTAATAACTTACTTTCGAAATTAACCGCCTGAATATGCAATCCGAACAGATGCACAGAATAAGAAACATCTAACTAATCGAGTATATATGAAATATGTGACAAAGAAAGTAAATTTGAATGATTGGTTAGTTTAGATAAACAGGTATTTAGCCTACTGGAATATGCCGATGACATTGTCCTACTTGGTGAAGACGCTGACAAAATGCAGAGTCTTCTGACTACCCTAAGCAACAATGCGAGCATGTTCGGGATGCGATTTTCCTCCTCGAAATGCAAAATGTTGCTTCAAGTTTGGGTTGCATCGGCACCTGAACTAGTGATAGGGAGTGAAGTAGTCGAGCGTGTAGACCGCCTCACTTATCTTGGGAGTCTCATCAGTGCCGATGGCCTGGTGACTGACGAAATCTCAGCTCGGATACAGAAGGCTCGATTGGCTTTTGCCAACCTGCGTCACTTATGGCGTAGGCGAGATATCCGTTTGCTGACTAACGGACGAGTGTACTGCGCAGTAGTTCGCTCCGTCTTACTTTATGGCTGTGAAACATGGCCAGTGAGAGTAGAAGGTATTCGTAGGTTGCTGGCTTTCGATCATAGGTGTCTTCGAAGCATTGCTCGTATATCGTGGGACACCCGAGTGAGCAACGCTGTTATTAGGAATCGGGTGCTAGGTAAGAATGGCAGATCAGTCGATGAAGTGTTGAAACTTCATCAGTTGAGGTGGTTGGGACATATTCTGCGTATGCCTAACCACCGACTGCCTCGACGAGCTTAGTTTTGTAGTGTAGCAGTAGGTTGGAAGAAAGTTAGGGGCGGTCAGACCAAAACATGGCACAAATCCATGAAGTCATTGACGAGTGGACTTAGCCGTGTCGGTAATTGTCGACTACCTGGTTGGGGTCCGCGAGATGATAATAATCGATGGTTAGAGACCTTGAATGACATGGCTCAAAATCGTTCGCAATGGCGCCGGTGCATTTATTCTTTGTGTTCTCTCAAATCCTAATCTTCTGGATTCTTCAACACCTCTAGTTTTGACTTTCCAAACTTTTCTCATTAAATCATACTTCTTGAATAATATCTTCTAATCGTAACCTCTCTGATTACTCCTAATACCTTTACTACTTCTTCTACTATTGGATTTGAATTGACGAATACTTCTCTATGCTGATGTGGTATGGCAACATGAACTGATGTACTTATGTACGAAGTTCTACGTTGCATCTGACTGACTGGTTATTAAATTTCTACATTGAAAATGAAGATATAAAGTGGTCCACAATGATATCATCTCCTCTCACCAATATTTGTATTACCTAATATTCCTAATGTTAACACTAGTTGAAAAACATGAGGAACGTTCATTAGGTCTTGTCAGTTGTGAGTTAGTTACCTGCTGAAGGTATGGGCGCTCAGTATTGTGAATAAAAGTTAAACAATAGTCACTTTTGCATTGCGGCTCATTACTGTAGAGGATAAGCAATGATCAGTCAAATATTTTCTTTGTATGATGATGTTGTGAAAGAAGCAAATTTACCATTTCAATTTGTAATCAAAAGGAACGCACATTTCTCAGTGAATAAGTTGTTACACTATCAAAATTTTTTTAAAATCATTCAATTTGGTTTCTAATTGATAAATTTACTAAGTATATCTGATGATAAAGCTTGACTTCATAAATTCTTAATTCTTCTGCTTACGGTATTAAGTAGGCGATAAGCGAATATTCGACAGGGTTAGAATGAATGGCGTTTGAACCAAATACTGGTCACCATAGGAGATTAATCTGCAACGTGTGTAGGGTTCATCAGATACAGATGCGAAAAAAATGGCATTATATTCATTTATATTGGCACTTTGAATCTCTTCATCGATAGTTTGAATTGCTATTGATCGGTCTTATTTTGTGTACGTGCATTCTGTGTTGTACAGTCATTAGATCGCAATCATTATACTCAGAGATGTAAAGTGGCTTGAAGTGGAATACAGAACTCTCCTTTCATTCTGTTTGGGATCCAGTGGCAGTCTTGACTGAGTAGCTGAGTGGATAAATCGATGGCATTGTAAACTGACGGTACTGGGTTTGTGTCTCGGAAAGATGCAAGTACATCTAGCTGAAGAGTCCGAATGCGGAAGAAAGGCTCGTCCCGTTTTCCGATGCTAGTCACTATCCACCTCTTCTTATAGTCAAATTTAATGTTTGGTGTTATATACCCCATGAATTGATAGAATTTGTACACATAGATTGTTATGTTCTGAACAATTTTCTTAGTGTCATGATTGTATGTACATGTTCAGCAGAAGAATCATGAACGCGCAAACAAATTACAAGTTTACATTATTGTTGTCTTCTTGCCCCCCCTCTCAGTACGTACCAATTTTCAAGATTATATCAATTATATGGAAAATATTTTCAAAATTAAATCATTCTGTTAGCATTGAGTAATTTATGTTTTGAAAAAGCATTTCACATTTGCTCATAGTTCCACACTGTCAATTAATTTCTGACCACTGACAAGTAATGTTGGAAGAATAACAATCATATTCACCACTCATATTTAATAATTACATTTCACCATTCATAATTTGATGTTCATTTGGTACATCAGCGTAAACGTAATGAAATTCAGAACAGTTACATCTTCTAAAAAAGTAATTTTTTTTCTAAACGAGAGTTGACTATGGTTTAGCAATGTTTATTATAGTTTACAAGCATAACTGTGTTTGCTTGATACTCTGGAATTGACTTCCCAAGCAGATCTTTCGTTAGACTGATAAATGAAAATGTTTATTCTGAAAAACGTTTAACTACTCATAATCGCAGTTAGTAGAATGAAACTTTTCGAGATGAAGGAAAGTACTGTATGCTTGGATGGAAATGAGAAGTACTATGCTAGTTGAAAGCTGTTAACAACAGGGTATGAAGAATCTTATTATCCACCTAACACTCAAATAGATCGTATTTTCCACGTCAATCGCTTTACATTAAAAATTCTGCATCTAGAATGAATATGCCAACCACTAGGTTTTACAGTATTTTATTGTTTTGTGTATCATCAAAACGTTGAACGCTTCATAATGTAAGCGGTAGCACTGTACTGTCTAATGAAACACTGTTATATAGTAGGATTATACCATTTTTACTCACTCTAAACACAGAACACACTGAAATCCGACTGCTATTGAAATGTGTCGGAAAAAGATAGGCAAGTTATTCAATCCTAATCCAGAAGATTGGGTCGGGGGTCAAAACAATTTAGGGAGCAGTTCGACTGGCTGGCCTTCGGCCACACTTCAGTTGCCAACGATCTCCAGTGAACCTTAATGGCAGGTTGGTGTAAATCCTCTGACTGAGGATGAGTTTGAAAAGACTATATGCTATTTAAGACTAGAGACA